CCCCAGCCGTTTCCGAGATTACCTGGAACAAACGCGGCTTGCGGACAGTCAGACAAAATTTTTAATGCGATTTTCGTTATTAACAGCGCAAATACATCTTCTTTCATTTTCCCGAAATTTGAAATTTGTCTTTTAATACAAACACACGCTCCAATTTTATTATATGTATAAATATTCAGTATTATAGGTGTTTAATTTCACTTGCTTTATTATTTTCGCTCAAATTTAATAATTTGCACCACCACCTGGGATAGATTTTGGTACAAAGCGTTTGATATTTAAATATTTTAAGTGATCAATTACATTTCAGGTGACCTACCTAACACGTATGTGTTTACAAAAGCGTTAGCGGAGAATTATGTTGCAGAAAACCATGGAAATATACCAACTATTATTATTAGACCTTCCATTGGTAAGTTAATTTACAGAATAGCTAATTGACTATAGCTGTCTCTGATTGATTAACAATTCTATTAAATTAGCAATTCGATGCTTTGACGACCTTTCTAGACTTTTACAATAATCTCTAATAAAAACTATTACATCATTACTTCAACATCTCTAAGAGAAACTATTACATTGTCTAAGTATTTTCATAAATGTTTATATTCAATATATTATATAATTAACAAAAAATCGTGACGCAAGCACATATCGGTAAAGAAATTCAAAGTTATGTGGGAAGTCAAACTGCACTACGCCAGCATTGACCATGGTATAGTAATTCCTGGCTTGGGTTAGGTACCAAACCCCTCAGTGGGGTCGTATAGCTAATGATGCTTAACTATGACCACCAGTGTAACAAACGTTATAGGACATAAGTGTAAGGGTAATAACTTTTTGTTATTTAGTAACAGCTAGTGAGAAAGAGCCCTTAGAAGGATGGATAGACAACTGGGCCGGGGCAACAGCAATCAATACGATGATTGCCCTCGGTTTTCTCAGGGTGCTGTTTGGCAAATCTTCGAACATAATAGATTTGATTCCCGTCGATTTTGTCTCGAATTTAACTATAGTGGCGGCTGCGAAATGTAACAGGTAATTTGAAATATTAATGCATACTTTACTATTACAATTACATAGATAATGGGGATCGAAGCTTGTGTCTATTCTCGCTGTTTTTTATATTTACTTTATTGTCTATGGTAGTCACTCAGAGTAAGACTAACTTTTGGTTGCGAATTTGACCTCGCGAACTTTAAAAAAAAAATTATGTTATGTTATAAAAAAACCCTAACTCTATTATCCGTTATCTCAGTAATCTATACTAATATTATAAAGAGGAAAACTTTCTATTTTTGTATTTTTGTATATTTGTATGTATTGAAATGACTCAAAACCACTTGACCGATTTTAAAAATTCTTTCACCATCAGAAAGGTAATTTATCTGTGAGTAACATAGGCTATATTTTATTATTACTAATGTTTAGGAACTATTAATAAACAGCGTGTTTCTGGACACCGGCTTCAAAAAATTACTAAACTTTGACTTTTCGCGGCTTAGGCTGCCTAAACCGTTAGAGGTATATAAAAATGATGTATGAAAGAATAGTAGATCTCAAAAAGTTCTATAGAAAAGTCCGTAATAGCATATATCTATCTTTAACAGTTCTCTTACAATAACCACTTTTTTGTTTACAAAATTAATTAAAAACCTTACGCTATTTGCAGCGTTCTTTTATTGGTTTCAATATTAATCCTTATCCAAATAGCATTTGTTATCAGGAGAATTTAATGTAGAATAAAATTGTCCTTTACCGTATTTAAATTGGACTAACAGTTTAGAAGATATCGCAAACACAAACAATAAAGGTAACCGAAAAATCAGCTAACAAGTTACCGGGCTTAGAAATTTGAAATCTTACATCGGTAGATTTCTATTATTACGTAGATTACTACTAAATTAATACTTTTGGTAATAGGTTGAAAATAAGGGCGAATGTAATATGTTATATTTGTTATTTCACGCGGGCGAAGTCGCAAGCAACAGCTAGTCTATACTTATATTATAAAGAGGAAAACTTTGTTTGTTTGATTGTAATGAAAAAACTCAAAAACCACTAGGCCGATTTCAAAAATTCTTTCACCATTGAAAAGTTACGTTGTCAGTGAGAAACAGACTGTGTTTTATATTATTTTTTAATTTCACGAGGACGGAGTTGCGGGCGAAAGCTAGTAGTGTAATATAGATATCTTCGACATAAATAACATTATGTTTCAGATCTAAAGAATTGCGAGTATACAATTGTAGCAGCAGTGGAACGAACCCTTTACCAATCGTCAACTTGTGTAAATCATTCATAAAAGGTGCTGTTAAGCAGAAAATAAGTAAGTGGAAATGTAAAATTACACAAAAACTATCTATTCTAATACTGCAAAAAGGAAAGATTCGATTGCTTATTTGTAGTAGACAGGCTCCTAAGAGACATAAGGTATATTTTACATCAACGGGAAAGGTATGTATGTGACAGAAAAGATATGAAACGTATATTCTTTGCCGCCCAGAAAAAACTCTTGCATCGGTTATAAATTTGTTGAATTAGAGTTGGAGTGTCTATGTGATTTTTTCTCTGATTTTTTTCTTGTCATAAGTTTGAATTATTAATAATTAATTGTTACTTTTTCTTGTTTGGTTTTTTTTGAGCTGATTAATTGTTTATTACTATTATTAGCTCATATACATTTATTTCTTATTCTTTACTGCATGCTTTGTATAAAAGATAAAATAAAACATCTTATATAAAAAATAGAGCACCACCGGCTGCCGAATCTGATGACTCAAGCAACCATTAATCAGAGCTGCAGAGACAGGAACCTCCTCACAATGCGTGTGGTTTCTAAAATAACGGCCTTTTGAACCGGGCCCTTAATCCAACTAGCGAGAGGTTCTTGAGATGTTGGTCGAACTAACTTAGAAGAACAGTTATTATTAATGCTTATTATAAAATGTCATCTTTATTTTATATTTTCAGATGTGGTACCATTTCCAACAATAATGTTTACACAGAGCTTTTTTGTTGCTAAAATTATAATCTTCCTAACTCAGCTACTACCGGCTTTTGTATTGGATTGTTTTCTACGCTTAAGGGGTAAGGAAGCAAGGTATGTGTCTTTAAATGTACAGTGTAAGAATTAAATTCAAAACCCACTCAGGTTCAATTTAGCTATGACTAGTTTGTCGAATTTTATCCTTAACAAGCTTGTGTCCGCGACTCCCTTTGTGGGTAAAAAACACATTTTTAAGCAGCTTTGGCTGCAGACTACAAACATCCTTCCAAACTTTCATATTTATAAAATTACTAGCTGTTCCCGTGCGGCTTCATCCGCATGAAGTTATGAAAAATTTATTTTATAGTTTACATTTGTCAAATTATCAATAGCAAATTTCAAAATGACATGACATGACAAACCTTAGCAATCTTGCTTTCTTGATGTTAGCAGCAACTTATGGTCTCTTTCCCACATTAAGGTTTTTATCTAAAATATTTACCCCTAAGTTTAATGTCGTGAAAATATATCGCCTAACGCGTGACATAAGTGTAGGGCTATTCATTAAGGAAAGAATTATTCAAAAATATGCTGTAATTGCTGACATCTTAGGCAACAAAGAAGTGTGTGTTTACGCTTTAATATAATAGTATAGATAGTAAGATTATTTATTTCTTATTGTTCACAGACATGTAAAGAAGCAAAGGAAAATAATTAATTTGTTTTACATATTACAATACTTTACGAATAATTCGTGGTCAATACAGTCGACACAAACTGAATCTCTATTTGCGTCTCTAACACATTGTGATAAAGATACTTTTCCATGTGACAGTTCTGCAATAAGATGGTCCGAATATACGTCCGTTTATTTTAACGGCATCAAATCATATTTGTTGTGATTTTAATGGTGTTTTTAATTTTGTAGACATGTGTATGGTTTTAACAAATCTTTTTTCCATTAAAATATTGTTTCCGGTTTATTTGTTTCATTCTCCTTTTAAATGTAATTTACTGTTAAAATATTTTAAATTCCAATTTTAGTTATTTAGTAAAACAAAACTTTTGTTTTATTTATTACACTAGCTGTTCCCGGGCGACTTCATCCGCATAAAATTATGAAAATTTTATTTCAGTGTTTACGAGTACATGTGTGAAATTATCAATTGCAAATGTCAAAATGACATGACTATGACAAACCACGGTAACCTTGCTTCCTTGATGTTGGCAGCAACTTATGGTCTCTTTCCCACATTAGGGTTTTACCAAAAATATTAAACTTTATTAAACTTATTTAATGGCGTGAAAATATATAGCCTAAAGCGTGACGTAAGTGTAGGGCTTTTTATTAAAAGAAGAATTATTCAAAAATATGCTGTAATTGCTGACATCTTAGGCAAAAAAGAAGTGTGTGTTTACACTTTATTATAATATAATAGTATAGATTAAAATGTTGTTTCCTGTCTTTTTATTTATTTTCCTCTTAAATATATAATTTTTAAAATCTTTTAAATTTCAGTTTTAGTCCAATTAAAAATATTTATTAAAACAAATCTTTTATTATAAATTCTTTATTTTTCGAGTAGTAAAAAAAATACCAGCATCTTAGAATGAAAAATATAAATAATGCGAACTTAACATTTTAACAATAATTTAAATTACAATAAGTTACACTTACAATAATATGAAATGACTAAGGACCTGTCCCACCACTAGCTGATAGAAGCTCAGATAGTTTAAAAATGACGTCACTGTCAGATAAGGGAACAAAATCCGATATATCCATCACAATTCGCTATTTTTAAATTTATTTTTGCTTCCGAGAATCTACTAAATACTTTTTAATACCATTGAAATAGGTTGGAATGTATTGAGACCATCTCAAGTCTGCAGCCTCGCAGGGGAAAGTCTTCCTATCTTGCAGGGTAAGGGACGCGTATAAATCAGTAGTGCGATTTGATTTTATCTTCCAAGAACGCGACTGAAAGTAACGCATGTTCTCTCGCATTCTTGACTGCTTCTTTTGAACTTTAACGAAGGAGATGGAACTAAAAAAATATAAAAACATATAGAGTACAATCGGAGTTAAAATATAGCATAGTTAAAGACTATGCAATAGTTTCTTGCACTAAAGTTCTACTGACAATGAGTGGTTTAAAATCTAATACGCCAATCCATTTTTATTTTAACTAAGCATACCAAAATTACAGCTTATTACATTATTATATGTACACTTTGGTTAGTTTAGTTTAAAAGCAAAAATAAACCGAAGCATATAAGCTTTCACACTCCTAAATTTACAGAACAAACATAACTAAAAAGGATCTATGTCTGCCTACCTCTCTGGATTACGGGCGTAAGCATATTTTACAACATTATACTGTGATGGTATAATCTAAAATTAAAAGAAAATTAATGTTAGAACTAACCTTTTTGACCTGCAAGTAATTCTAAGCCAGAAATCGGCCAAATATGCTGGTAACGTCTCTAAGAGAAAGCTAACAATTGTCACCAGTACAGCTGATTTTATGTAAACCAACCCAAAGAGGGGAAAATCATCTGAAAAAGAAAATTAAAACGTAAAAAAGTAAACATTGAAAATGCTTGATGAGTTTGTAATGCAGGTGTTCGTAAGATTAAGGCATGTTTCACACTATATTGTAAAAGCAATTCATAAATTAAAATTGAACGTCATGTATACATGTCCTTACAAAATTTTTGTTTCGCACTCTCTTCCATCAGCAAGTTTCCGAGTAGACCAGAAGATATAGGGTTCGCAGAACTGCTACAAATATTGAAAACTGGTACATCATTAGATCTGTAAAAAAAACGTTACATCTAAATAATCAAATCAGAGCATAATTACCTTCACATTACTTCAAAAATTTTAAATTCGTTAAAGTACAAAAAATACAATTTTAGACGTGTTCTAAAATAAACAAGTGAAAAAGCGTAAATTACAACATAATCTATGGATAGATTAGTAAAAAAAATGTGCTACATTATTTTGAATAACCTAACTTACCTTTTACATCTAGCTGCAGCAATAATAGTCAAATTAACAACGTAGTCTACAGGAATGATGTCAAGAACATAACTTCTTTTCCCATACAAAACTCTAGTCCAGCCTTTGGCGACGGTATACAAAAATGTTGTGATACCCATCCAGTTATCAATCCAACCTTTGAATGGTTCATCTGCGGCTGGTGTTACTGCAATCAGAGGATAATATAAAATTATGTCTTAGGTTTTCTGATAAACATGCTATTACGTACTAACGTGATAGTTATTTGGAGGACAAAAACCTGTTGTGCCGACCCTACGGGAGTAGGATAAGGGGGGTGATGATGATGATGATGATGATGATGATGATGAGGATGGTGATGATGATGATACGATTACGTATCACCTAGTTTAAATCTTTCGGGGTTACAATTTACTAATATTATAAATGCGTAAAATTGTGTGTGGAGTGGATTCAGATATGACGGCTGATAGAGATGTATGGAAGAGCAGTACATACTGTGACGACCCTCCGTAAGGGATAAGGGCAAGTTGATGATGATAAATGCGTAAACTTAGATGCATGTTTATTAGAGTTTGTAGCCTAAATTACTGAAAGGATCTCAATGAAATTTGACATAAATGTAAAGGATCATCTAGAAGAACACAGACTACTTCAAACATCAAACTATTCATCTAAATTCTGCAATAAAAATGTTAGTAAGATTTAATCGTTCTAGGTAAAAAATGAGGAGTGATCACTTATATAGCCTCCTACTATAAAGTACTTACCAATAGAAGGTCTCACAATGACAGAAGGAACATTTCCGTGCTCTTGAGCCAAGACATTCTCAGCCAATGCCTTTGTAAATGTATAAGTATTTGGACGTCCATCTGTAAAGTATAGATAACAATTTACGCAAGTACATATTAGCTACACGTAATAAACATTATTTCTGTGTGGGGTCGGAACATCGGGTTTTCATTTTAGAGTGGGCGCACAACTTTGTTTAAACTATCGTAGAACTGTTGTGCGATTGTCGATTGTTTCTCAGCCAATTCAACTGTTTAGTTGCACAACTAAAAATCGAGTAGTGTGCGCACCTTCATACAAGCATATAGAAAGCGTGACTAAACATCCGCCCGCTCTAAATATAGAAATAATGTCTCGTCTACTTACTCAGAAATTCACTAAGGTCTTCATCGGAATCCTCTTCTTTAATACGTTTGTAGACTTCTTCCAATGTTCTAGGTGGAGGATAGATGCATTCGTCTATTTCTTGCTTATCAGTATTAGAAAATGCGGTAGAAACGTAGACAAATGCCTGAAAATATAAGATATAACGTAAATGAACTACATGAAGAAAATACAGACGAAAAAGAGATAAACAATTATGAGATAGTAGCTTTTAAGCGACTCCGACCACGTGAAATTAAAAAAAGACAAAGTAAGTAGTCTATGTGTTCTTTACGACTATTCTCTACATCTATGCCAAATATCATCGAGATCTGTTCAACAGTTAAGGCTACAAATTCTAACAAACATCCATTTAAACTTTTGAATTTGTAATATTAGCAAGATAGGTATTTGTTGTTGCTAAAAAAATCATTTGATTTAATGCAGAAAATAGCCTGCGGGCTTGAAAGATCCAGTCTCTTAATAGTCAAAGTTCTCTGCGTTGTAAATAACTACTTACATCCAAGTTCGCTTTGTCCTTGAAAGCCTTCAGGACCTCTCGCGTCCCTTCCAGGTTTATATTTAAAGCATTCTTAAGAGGTTCATCAAATCTTACTGTTGCTGCCAAATGAAAGACAACGGAAACCTGAAATTTAATAATATTAAATTA